CAGGATATGCATTTGATTGGGTTTTACTATGTTAGATAGTTAACCACATACATTTACCACATAGGCGGCTTTCCGCAATAAAGAAAAATAAACAGTTGAGATTTAGAACACAAAAGAGTAATGTCCCCTTTTATTAAGGTTATCGTTAGTAGGTGCCTTCGGATATTAAGGACCTATTAACCTTTATTAGGGTGTTGAGTTAACCCCTTTACTCTTTGAGTTAACCGTCTTCCTCTGACGCTAAGCTACGGCAGCCCCGCTGAAGTGTACATGATTTTTCCATGATTCATGTACAGTATTAATCCTGGATCATCGACCACCACACATTTATATCTTTCTCGCCCTCGGCGTATCTTCCCAATAACTTCCCATATCTTTCCATAACTTCCCCACATGGCTACTTATTTAAGATAGATCCAGGATTAATCATGGATCAAATCATGTACGATCCATTATTAATAATCCTGGCCTCCAACAGCGACCTTTTCCTATCTGAATGTGAGGCTCACAACGGAAAGTGCGATTCTCCCCTCAAACGTCGGACAAGTGTACAACTAGAATGGAGGGCTATGATTTGGATAAGCTACGGAGCGAAGTCCGTGTAATTCGCGAGAACACTGTGAATCCCCGCTCACGAACTACATACTTGAATTCCTATAGTCGATTCCTTGCGTGGGCTGCGCTCAACAGACAGTCCTACGTGTCTGGTTGGTTCATCGATACGATCGGCCACGTGGAAGACTACACAGAACAGCAACTTTGCGCTCATGTGAAGCAGAAGCTCGCCCAAGATCGCACTACACCACCGCTGGACTTCGATAAACTCCAAGCACAAGATTTTGTCACTTGGTTGGTGACGTTAAGATGGTGGACCTCTGAGCTACGCAGCCCTCAATATCTATTTTATATGCTAACCCTTTGCGACCTGAAATTTGCCCAATTCTAGCTTTAGGGATCTTTTGGGCATGTACTGATTTTGACGGAACAGACTTACTATTTCCTGGTAACAACCAATACGAACGGTTTCGGAAATCGCTGCAACGAATTCTGGCACAGGAAAATGTCGCCGCTGAGCTGTGCCGCCAGGGACTTAAAGCTACGGAGCTAGGTACTCATTCTATGCGATAAGGTGCGGCTACGTTCTGCTCGCCTGGATCGACTGCGATTCCATCATCGACAGCGGTACATTTGCGAGCAGGTTGGTCCTTAGGAGGTGTCCAGAATACATATCTTTGATACGAGGCAGCTGGCGATATGCACGTCGGCCGCACTGTTGCTGGTCTACCTACGGAGAGTACACATTTTACTAATTTGGCTCCACACTTTGAGGATCACGAGGAATGGGTGAAAACTGGAGTTAAACTTATGTTTCCTGGTATTCCAGAGGTTGGAATTTGTAGCGGAGTTTTGCTTAGCCTCGCTTGTCTATCCCTATACGTATCTGAAGGCTACATTGTCACGTGAACACCAACTATTTGAGACTCCACTGTTCCAAGACACAGACTTGCAACATCAATTGCTGAATCTGGCGATGGAAGCGATGGAAGCGAACAATCTCGAATTCGCCCAACCGGAATACCCCCGCACGTATCACTATTGTGCGAAATGAAATGGCTAAAGCAGAGCTTGGTGGATGCGTTATCCGAAATTGAATCTACCCGAGTTGCAACCGTAAAGGATATCGTAGGCGAACTGGAAGCTAGAGCAATTGGTGCTGGTACTGTTACGTACGATGGCCTCAACGATGCTATTAGGTCATGCCTACAAGAAACTGGAGTACATGATCTTGTGCAACACCTAGCAAATTCAGGACATCAAACCCATGAGAAGACTAAGGACAACGTGCGCATACTGAACCATTTCTGGGGTGGCCGATTCCGGCGTGTCCCCGCCGGTTTTCACGTGGCGGACTGCTCGACACGTCAGTGTGGATCCTGTGGAGATGTGGCAATGAAGCTAAGCGTTGGCCTCTTTTTCGTCTTCTTGACGGCCGAGACGTGCCTGACAGAAAGCAGCAGAGGCGCTTGAGTGACCTTCGTTTTGTGATGAAGAAACTGGAGCACGATGCCACATCAAAGAATCTGCTCCAAGACTGTAGAAGTATCGAAGATGCCACTAATGTGTACCTGACATGCATAGATAGTGTTGCTGTCGAGTCTACAACCGAGCGATCCCGTAAAAGGCGTCGAGGGAAGCTCAGCTGGTCTACTGTCGGGAAGCTCCTTCGACAAGCAAAGAAGACGAGGCATAGTGGGGCGTAGTGATGCTAATCAGAGAATGTCTCGCAGTTTTGGTAAAAATTGCATAAACTATGATATGTCATAAAGAACCCAGTTGTCCGACGAATGTCCGACGAATACCGTCTATGAATCATTTTCATCGAGTTCATCATCATTCTGGATAACAATTTTTATTTTTACAATGCATTTATTTTGTATTGGAAAAAAATAATTCGGATAATAGTACAGTGTATACAATGGCTAAAATGTCGCTTGCCATCCCGGCCAATCAGCATGCGTACCGACGAGTTTTAAGAACTAAGTTATTAGGGTTGCGTCCAATCCGGATAATAGTCCAGTCTGTATACAATGGAGTAGCCATTGTATACAGACTGGACTATTGAAGAAGACATGGTCGCTGCCAGCGGTTCCACCAGCGCAGCGCCGTTGCCGACACTTACTACACCACAGAGAGTGTGTCTTTGCTGTGTAATTGTTGCCCACGACGAGGCTTACAAGTGTGGTAGGCAGATACTGTACTTAGCAATTGCGAAGAATCCCCTCTAACTCTAAACGCATAAAACGTTGAATGTTTGCACGGACCGCGCTACGAAGTTCCTGTTGCCAGAGTGCAACACCTGCGTGTTCTTGGTGTCGATGGCAATTTCATGTGCCAACCCATCGGTCGTAGGTCGTCGCTCCTTCTTGGCAGCAACCGGTTTGATGGCAAAGCGGCTATCACCGTAGACGAAGACGGAGCCGACGACCAGGAACACACCGAAGTAGAAGGAGAACGTGGCTGTCTGGTCGAACATGTAGTTGGAGATGATGCATGACAAGATAAGCGAGAAGGATGTGCCGAAGTTCTTGACGATGTTGTCCGAGTAGCGCACAACAGCAGCGATAGTGAGTCCACCGACGGCCTGTAAGAAGATCACTGCAAAGACCGTCGGGTGGAAACCGTGGAAGAAGCCATTCGTCCACACTTCGCCAAAGTTGCGCACGAGGTCGAAGCAAGTGACGCCCACAGAGATGGCGGACAGCTGCAGGTTGCGCGTCCAGAGCGGGTCAAGCGTCTGCTGAGTCTGGACGCCCTTGTGAGACTTCATGACGCGCTCAAAGTAGGCTGCTGCAAGGCCAGAATTGACTGCCAGTCCAAGCATAATGCAGATACCAATGAATCGCTTGGTGCTTGTGGCTTCGTCCGTGTGCTGCGATCCACTCGGTAGTCGCGAGTAGGAGCAGATGGCTACACCGGCCATTAGTGCTACCATAGCGCACCACTGTACGGCACTGAAGCGACGATGTAGCAGCACGATCATGAACATGGCGGTGGTGATGATTTTGAGCTGGTACACGATCTGGTACGTGGCCACGTCCACGTAGTCATAGGCCACGAGAGCGAACATGTTCTGTAGCGCGTACAGGAAAGCGAGCACCGCCATCTTCGTGAGTCCCGTCTTGTCAGCGAAGACTTCGATCTGTAGCGTACGCACGGACGCCTTGACGTTGCCTCGTTTGGTCTTGAGAAGCATGAGGTAGCACAGCACGAACTTGAGCATCTCCACGAGCAGCACGACGGAGCTGGGACGGTACTTCGGTCCGGCCTTGGCTCGTGAGTACTTGGACACGATGGACAGCGCCGTGTTCTGCAGCACCAGCATCACGAAGCTCACATGCTTGAGTGAAATCCCCATGGTGGCTGTGGCTAGAAGAGGGAAGGACGAACTGTGAGCGACGCCGACCGAGCTCAAAGGGATACTTAGCCCAGCGCTTCCACCGTTACCGCACTCGTCGCGTAAGTAACTGCTGAACCTTGAATGACGTTTGTATTGCTTACAAATTGCAAGTATAATTCCGACTGACCAATCAGCGTCGAGTACGTCGTTCAGTCGTGAATCGCACTTAATCGAAGTGGATTCATCTTTTTTGAAGCGAATCATAGAAGAAAACATGGCGTCGGGTTTCGGAGAGGTGAGGCAGGGCTGCTTACTGTGTGGAAGGCTTGATACTTGTTATTGATACTTTATCCGTGCATGTGTGCTTTGTCGCCGTAGCTAGTGTTGGTGATCGGGGACAGTCATATCCCGAATCGAGCCTCGGAGATCCCCGAGAAGTTCCAGAAGATGCTGGTGCGGCGGGTTTGGAGTCTAGTGCAATATGTACTTGCTAACGATTACCACGGACAGGTTCCTAACAAGATGCAGCACGTCCTGTGCACTGGAAATATGGTGACCAAGGAGCAATTCGATGAGCTGCGTAACTTGGCGCCCAACGTCCACCTCGTGGCAGGAGACTGCGACCAGGTGCGTACAAACCTGTCCAGAAGCCAAGAGCACTGCTCATCTTTACTGTGGGTACGCTGGTTAATTCGCAGGAGGGAATATACCCCGAGACGAAGGTCATTACAATTGGTCAGTTCCGGATTGGGCTATGTCACGGACATCAGATCGTCCCGTGGGGCGACCAGCACAGTCTCGCAGCTCTACAACGAAAAGTATGTAATTGGGTGACGATCAGTCATTGCCTGGTTGCGTTATTTTAGTGCAGTCTCGTTATGATTTTTTTTTTTTTTTTGTGCTTTCCGCAGATGAACGTCGACATTCTTGTCACTGGCCACACCCACAGGTGAGTACTTTGTTGTACACGACAAGGCACGGATCACTGACTTTTTGCTGCTTGTTGCAGGTCCCACATTCGAACGGAACATGGCAAGTGGTTCATCAACCCTGGATCCATAACAGGCGCCTTTAGTAGCGTCTCCAGTGACGTGATCCCGAGTTTCATGCTCATGGCGTTGCAGGGGCCCAAAGTCGTCGCCTTCCTCTATGAACTCAAAGGCGACAACGTCGTCGTTTCCAAGAGTGAGATCACTAAAGAGATGTAGTGATTGTTTCAAGCTTCAATGTCTTGTACTGTTGCTATTTCTCCATGTTCAGTGGGGTGGGGGCCATCATGCTGCAAAAGACCAGGAGGAATATCCTGGTGTGAAATCCTGTTGGGCTGCTACTATGCTACTACGTGGGGTGAATGATACCTTGTACTACTAGTCCTTGAGCTCTGCTTCCAGGTCTTCAAAGAACACAGCCGGATCTAAGATGACGGGGTTTGTCACCCGCGGCAACACGTTCACCTTGCAAGCCTCGTACCGCCGCCACATCTCGAAGCCTCGCAGTGTGTGCTCCATCTCCTTCAACAGGTGCTTGCGTATGGCTGCATCTTTGCTGCTATTGCTGTTCAGGTTGCTATTCGGGTCGATCGGCGGCGTCAGTCCATTCTCTCTAGACTCGGGGGAGCGTCCAGGTGTAAACAGCTCCGAGTAGAACGACTGTAGCTTGCGGTGCTGCAGCCGGTAGACAGTCAAGTGTACTACAGACGCCATCTTGCACCCTAATGCAGCTAACCGCATGCTCCCAGCACTATGGAACGCGCGGATGGTGCTCTCGATGAGTGAGGTTGTTTGTGAGAGCGTAGTCACGCAGTTTTCGCCGAAGGAGTGTGCGTGCTGAGCGTCATTCTTCTCCTGATAGGCCACTTTAACCTCCTGGAGTTTCAATGCGTACTCGAAGAACTTGGCGCCTGATCTTAAGTAATATTTGCCCTGTGTGATCTGTCCTTGAGTGCCTCGTTCGCTTGATCCTCGCCGGTTCCCCTCGTGCTTGAGCTTCCGTGCCTCTTCCATTAGTTTCGCAGACTCATTACGCAGTTTCTGTACGTCACTTCCAGGTGTAAATGTGATGGTAAAGTACCCAGCAGGTGGTGCTGGTGCAGCAGCTTCCACAGGCTCCTTCTTCGCATCTTCTGGCTGCTGCTTCACATCTTCAGCCTTGATATCCTTCTCTTTCTTGACATCCTTCTCCTTCTTCACTGACCGCTCCTGTTCCTCTTCCTTTGCTGTTTCTCCACTCAACTTCTTCTTGCACACTTCGCACATCGCAGGTGCGCTTGGCGCAACTGGAGCTGATGGCTGCGCTGGCGGCGTCAAGTTGCTGGACGACCCATTCGACGACGATAAAGTCGACTTATTTGTGTCCTTGGCGTCCGAGGTGGACGTCTTGCTTTTGCTGCTGCTTTTACTGCTGCTTTTGCTGGATTTACTGGACTTACTGTGCTTGCTCGACTTGCTGGGTTTACTGGACTTAGTTGGCTTACTCACCGTCGGCTGTGATTCCCCCATATTTGAGTCCACAGAAGGAGGTTCTTTCCATGTCACGCGCTCTACATCTCCTGCAGCAAGTCTCCGTCGGAATTCCTCATGTCTTGGGGATGATTCATCTTTAAACGCGTCGGCGGGTGTATCGCTGCTACCTGCGTGCCGTACGCTGAGCAAACAGTCTCGAACATACGTGGACATTTGCTTGTAATAATCCGAGTCCGGGCGATGTCGTTTCCGTGCACGGGCAGCTTTAATCGGGTAGAATGGAGTGTCCTTGCTATTAATTTTGAGGTCCTGAGTTGCTGGAGAGGCTTCAATGTGCACAGGAGACGTCGAAACAGCAGGCTCGTCCACCTCCATCGCCGTAACGCCGTCTTCATCCTCACTATCCGCAACAGACAATAAACTCTCGTCATCAGAGTCGTCAGCATCCGATGCGGCGCCGCCTTCCATGGGCAGCACTTTACCACGCGAGATCGCAGTCGGGAATCGCAGCTGTTTGCCTCGCCCCACACTGGCTGGCATCACCTCCACTGCCATGGGGGTGACATCTTGACTAGCGTTTAATTCGTCGTCATCCTCTTCCTGTTCGTCCTCGGACGACAGCGGCGTGGACGATCCCACGTCGGAGGAGGCTGCAGAGTCGCCCGAATCAGACTCAGCGCCGTCTCCGTCAGCAGTTCGACGGTGCAGTGCCGCCTCTTTACTGGAGATGGCGCGACTGGGCGCGTTCTTCTTGGAGGACACGAACTTCCGCTTGGCCATCTGCACACAAGAGCGCGAACGACGCACAGAGAGAGCAACAAATACAGTCACACACTCCGATCCATTCCAGAACTTTGGAGCACTGGCACGTACCTTTTTCCTAGCTAGTTAACGGCCTCGCCAGTCTATTTCCGGTCCCGTTGCGGGTCTTCAAAGCGGCTTGAGTGCGTGTCTTCTCTTGAAGCTCTACGCCTTGAGCGCGTCTAGCAGCGGAAGAAGCGTTGAGACCGTTCCAGGAGCGAGGGAAAACTGTCTGGTGACGGAGTGAAGACACCCTCCGACGCCCTCGCTCGTGATTTTCAAAAAGTTTTTGCCCGGTTCACGCCACGAGGAGGCGCCACGGAGAGAGAGAAAGCAATAAAGCGTCGTGCGCGGGGCGATGACTTGTAGCCACCCTGCTGTAGCCTGCCTCGCCTTGGCTTGGAGGGAGCTGTTCCTACTACCGAGCAACAAGGAGTGGGTCCCGGTAAAACGCAAAAGCCCCCCAAACAGGGCTAAAGGGTACACCAATGGTACAGTGATGTGACGCACGCCATAACGAATTTGACAGGCTTCTTGTAAGTACTACATTAAGTGTAGTAGCTACAAACAGTATTGTTACTGAATAATGAGAGCAGTACTATATATTGGCATTGTATTCGATCACATCTACGAGTATTACGATATATAGACTATACTTGTACTAAAACGCCATAGAGATATACGGTATGTCTGACTCGTGCCGTACGAGCACTAGGCGAGCACATGAACACCTAGGTCTAGTCGCCGATCCAGTTGAACTGAGCTAAACCCGCTAAAAGGCTACTACATTAAGCAACTGAGTTGCGGGTGAGAAATTGATAAAATTCCATATGAAAGGTTATCACATTGAGGCTCATTACGATTCATTTTTTAAGATTTCTGGTCTTTGGATTGAATGCTATTAGTGTGTGAATGCAGCGCCAGTTGGTGTTCTTTCCTCGATGGGTAGCTCGTGGTTTCATCTGTCAAAATCTCATTTATACATGTAATACGAGATATGGTCGGTGGCGGCAGGTAATGCACCTGATAAAGGTATGCCCTGGGGCTCGCCAATCTGTAACCACAGCAAGCTAATGTTTAATTCCTGTTGTGAACACGGCACCAGTGAACAGCTTCGTAAAAACTAGCGAATAACCCATATTAAAAGTCTATTAGAACAGAGATAAGCTTGTAGCCATCGACTCGGTGAATTAGTAATAATAATGAATAAATACTACTTTAGTACGATATTAGACACATTGTAGTAGTTATTCATGCTTTTGGGAATGAAGAATATTACTTCTTTCAAAGTAAGTTTGATTATTATCATCGAAACTAGTAGTACAGCTAGTAATAATAGTACTGTACACGTCTCTCCGACGTCGCCTTGCGCATATGCCAATCCTGAGGAGAAGCAGCCAACCAACCAACGACCGCCCGACGCCGCGACAACCTCGATGGATATTGTCACCACCTCCAACTTCCACGCCACGCTACTGCCAGGTGCGTCCATTTACAGCCACAATGTCACTCATCGAGTTTGTGCTGACCTTGACCGTGTTGCGTAGGTCTCGTGAGTGTCGTGTTCGTGCCGGCTGAGCACATCCGCCACGGCAGCTGGCCGCTGCTCAAGTGCGTGAGCTGCTAATGTGCGCGTACAAAGAGGGCAACGCAGTCCGCCGCAAAGACCTTAATCTGATATGTTGTGTTTGTTCCAGTCTGTTGCTGTATAGTGGCTGCAGCTTTGACGAGAATGAGGGTGGCTGTGTTCGTACTGAAAGCCACGTGTGTCGCTCCAAGCAGACCGAGATCTTCTCCATTGTATCTGACCGTGAGGGCACCACGCTCTTCATGGATCCCAGCGGCATCGACATGTTCAAGCGCGCAGTACGTACCCTATTGTTGTCTTAGATGGAGAGAATATTAGTATTTACTGTTGCGTTTTTTACAGGGCATGGAGGACTTTATCACCGTCGCGCCTCAATCTTGGCGAGCCATTCAGGTACTTCACAGCTGAGACTACTATAGTGGCAGACGGGCATGGTGGACTGAATTGCGGTGGCTTTTTGTCTTGTTGAGTAGATCCACTTGGGACCGATGGTCGCAGAGTTCCCTGGTGTCGTGAGTTTCCTGTCCAAACTGCTGGCCGACGACCACATTAGTATCCTCAACATGAGCACGTACGACACAGACGTTATCTTTGTCCAAGAGCTCCACCTGGAGGCAGCTATCTCGTGTCTACAGTCCAAGTTGTCGCGAGGATTGCACGGCTTGAAGGAGGTGCGGATCTCATCTCATCAGTGTAGCCATGTAAAGTACTCTTGTTGATGAAACTAACCCTTTCATGTAACATCAGGCTAAGGACGCGGAAAATGCACTCTCTGACCGCGAAATATCACCAAATGACGCTGCGGAAAGCAGCGGGGAGACTGTGAGCGCTTCTCGTGTGGGAGACGGCCAGTATCTCACAGGTACGAGGCTTGTTGCCTCTCTTATCATCATGTTCGAATATGCTAACCAGAGCCATATTCCTTCGCAGTGTACCCGGACTCACTTGTCCTTGTGAGACTTCAGAAGGACGCACTTCGGGCCAGTGCCTACGGACTCACACAACTCGTGTTGCTATCTACTGGTTCAGCTTCAACCGAAGGTGACGGTGAACCGCTGGGAGAGACAGAGGAAATGTCTTTCTGGTGCTTATGCGAGACAGCAGAGGAGGTGAGCCTCATCATGGACGAGCGCTGTTTGCCATCATTCGAGAAGGAGTCGCTGATCGTCTCTCCCGATCGATGGCGCGCGATCAAGCTTAGTGGACGCGCTTACGGCTTCGATGAGACGGGTGTAGTGGCAGTGATGTCAGGCTGCACCACGGACGCGCAGGTGCTCAACGTGAGCTGCTTCGGGTCGAATGTTGCGTTTGTGCTCGACGACATGCTGAACGATGCAATCGAGACGCTGTGCTCGTCATTGGACATCTCTCGAGTGGAGAGATGAATGTTGTGGCACTGCAAGGAGAAGAAAAAGCCATTTACACGTCGCTGTTGCGTGGTTGATACCGTGGGAAAACAGGTATACAGTATGAACTTGAGGGATAGTAGCAACGGGGCCATTATTGCGGTAGACGAACTTCGTCGCTTGCGTTTTTTTGCGAGGGCCCCCCAGGAGAATATCAAGAGAAAAGCACACTTTGTTCAACAAGCACGTGTCAGTTATTGACAATCACCCGTCAGAAGTACTTGACCTGTAACGGAAAGGCTTTGGACGTCGCGACATCTTACACGGCCCCGCTGGTGGAGACCGAGCACCCCATTCAGCGGAATCTCTTACAGCTCTACGCCCTCCTGCTTTCGCTTCTCCGCAAGCAACATCGTCCGTCTCTCCTTCAATGCGCCAAGTTCACTTCTGATGTCGTTCCTTCGGGCATTAATCTTGCGTAGAGCGTCGCCCTCAGGTTTCTGTGCCAGACTCTTGGACAGAGAAGCTTGTTCCTCCTTCAGCGTCTTAATCTTTGCGTCCACCTCGCTTAACGCCGTCTCCATCTGCAACAAATTACATAATTAATACCGCAGTCAAGCATAGACTCTGATCCACCACTGAACAGCAACATACCTTCTTTTTCGACTTGAACTTCAGGTCAGCTTTCTTCTCTACCACTTGGTTAAATAGTGCCTTGCTCTCCTCCTCGACGACGAGACGGTGCTGGCGCACTGCCTCCAGCTTCGCGTGCAGCTGTCGCACCTTGTCCATTTCAGTTTTGAGGTCCTTAGCAACAGGGTCGTGCGAGTCCATATTGGCCTGAGCCTTGTGTTGCTCCAGTCGCTTCTTCGCGTCCTCGACTGCCGCAGCAAGTTGTTTATTGTCACGCTTGTAACGCATACGCGCAGTAGCGAGAGCTTTGGCCTTCTCCTCAAGCGCCTGGTTTTGAGCTGCTGTTTCGGCATTAAGAGCTCGTTGTTCTTCATTCTACACAGCACAATACATAGAATTAGTCCCTGTCGATATTTCCTCAGCGTCTTTAAGACTAAATCGCATACCGCCAGCATATCTTTTTCAGTCTGTAAGAATTACCAACATAGCACAACAGTATCCACATTAGCGGCCCACAAACCCGACTGCATGCCCTGGTTCCAGAACGTACCGCCTCCTTGCGCAAAGCCTCTACTGTAACGCGATGCTCTGATACACTAGCTTGCAGCGTCTCGTTCTCCGTTTGAATCTTTCTGTACTGCGCCACGAGCGCATCAAATTTCTTCTGTTGCATGGTAAGTTCCCTCGTCTGCTTGTCATGTTGAGAACGGAGCTCCTTCTCCAATGATTTCGAGCGAAGAGTGGCCTCCTTAATTTGTTCCTCCAGGTTGGCAGTTTTCTCGCGCATCAGCTCTTCCGTGGGCGCATTTGTCACATCGTGGGCGTTCACTAACCACATAACGTCCGTCAGACTGATACTTTGGTAGTCCTTTGTGTTGTCTTTCTTTCCGCGATGAGCAAAGTTCACATTCACACGGAAGCCCGTTTGGGTCTTTTGAGCGGTACGCATGAATGGGTCATCGTTATCACCCAGCATGTAGTCGTTGCCCTGTCCATTGGTGGAATCTCCCCAGTTATTTGACGTAGCCGAAGATGCTAAAGACTTCGATCCAGTTGAATCTGTTGGGGATTGTGGGGTGTTTTCATCCACAGGCTGGCGATAACGGATCCATCGACGACGACGCACTGCGTCTGTGGGGTGACGTGACGCGTGACTAAGATCATCTCCAAGTAAGCGCACGATCTCCACAAAATCTGCAGCATACGTCCAGCCATCACGATCCACTGCTGTGTAGTTCTGGTCAATTTCCCAGTCCGTGACCCACTCGTGACCCGCAGGAAGATCACCCTCTGGTTTCTCGTCTTGTCCTGCACCTGGTGCCGCGTGGCGATCACTGAAGCGTTTGGGGTCCATGGGCTGTAGTTTCCCTTCAAGACGTTCATTCTCAAAAATCTCCACGACCACTTGGCCATCGCGATCGACGTCCTGACCTGATCCTCTTGATTGTGTACCTGATTTGCCTCCAGGGGCTGCTGTGGTGCTTTGTAGCGACGTCTGTAGACTCCTGTTGGCCTGGTTAACCAGTGCTACCATACGCGAGACGCCAAAGAAGCCCCCACCCGCTGCTTTACCGCTGTTGGGCGTGTCCAGACCTGTCGTCAACAATAAATCACAGTCAAGTGAGCGAATTAACGGGAGATCGGGGCAGCGAGCTCCGCATACGCTTAGTGTCCGCCTCTGTGGGCCAGTCCCATTGGGTTTGGCCCGAGGCAATGTGTAGATAATAGTCCCTCCCGGAATTCCGGCTGCTAACCAGTCGCCATCCCGGGGGCAGATCTTCACTAGTAGAGGAAGCAGTACCTGCAGCTCCTGAGGCCCCCGCGGCGCCTGAACTTGCCGCGTGATTGGCTGCTGCTGTGGCTGCCGCGCTCTCGACGCTGCTGTTGCCCGGGAGTAGACTCCCACCGCTGCTGATGCTGCTCATGGCCGAGGCGGCGGCGCCGAAGATGCTGGAGGTTGTGGTGGCGCCGCCATTATTATTGTTGCCCCCAGAGCCTCCCAGACGCAGGCGCGAGATCATCCTAACGGGTGCGCAGCGAGGGGAGCGACAGAGGACGGGGAGGGAGCGACACGAGACCGGAGCGACGAGCGGGCGAACACTTCCTGAGCTTCCTTGCCTAAAGCTCAGATTAGTATGGAAAATTGTAAGTACAAGGAGTGATGGTCAATGCCCAATACCTAATGTGTCGCACATGAATCTGAGTGTAGCCATTTATCGTTGACATGGCTACATCACGTTGAAATGCTGCTGCTAGCTCGGACATTTATGTATTCACATGTCATATACTGTATAAGGAATGCCACGCTCATTGAGTCCTTGTCACCACGTTCAATAAGCTTAAGTGACGGGGGCTCAATTGTTCGTCTGGTTGTTGTTAAGTGACACCTCCATCGTCTTGGCGTTGGCACGTGCACTTTCAAGATCCTCTGACTCACCGGGAAGCATCGAGTACTGCGTCTTCTTCAGCTGTAGCCCGCGCATTGACCGAGGTGCCATCGATGACAGCGATCCGCCGCTGCTTGAAGCGATCGAGGACGTGTCCGTATCGTACTCGCCGTCGTCCTGTTCTTGCTGTCTCAACTTTGCCAACCGCTTCTTCTCACTACGTTCAGTGATTTCACTCTCGCCAGATGATTCGTGCCTCTCAGAGCACGTGCCTGAAAAGCGACGGTGTTTACCGGTATCGGTAGGAAGCATCGCATCGAAATGTGCCAGTGGATGGTGGTAGATGTACATGGAGATGACGAGAACTGTGAGGCCGCAGCCGAACTCTAGTGACGGTTTGAAGGCGAAGAAAAGCATTGAGAAGAGCATCGTGAGCATCATCGCCATGGAGTGGGAATACACGCACGCGATGTTGTCCAGATACTTGAGGATGAAGCCCATGCCGATGCCGCCAATACTATTCACCACCACCACAGCCAATGTCCAATTGTTGTAGCCGTGAAAGAATCCCTTCGACGAGATTTCTTCACCCTCCACTAGCAAAACTCCTGCGGCGTTGAATAGAATGCCAAATACATACATCTGCATGTTCTGCCATAGGAATGGACAGCTCGACTTCCGCTTGAACGCCCACTCAGTGAACACACTAGCACACGACGACAACGTTACGGCCACCAGTACCAACATTACACCAACTACCAGATCTTTAGCGCTCTTGTCCGCCGCTGCGTCTTCCTCCGACTGCATGCTCATTCCGCTACCGCTGCCATTATTGGTCATCGCGCCCTCCATCTGCCGTAAGTGGTTCGATTGGCTAGTGAGTACGCCCACAACCAGCAGCAAAATGGCAGTTTTACGCAGCTCTGATAGCGGATGCTTCAGCACGAAGCGGAAGAGCACGGCCGTGACCACAATCTTGAGGTTCCACAGAACAGAGAGCGTGGCAGCGTCCATATAGCGCAGAATAACGTAATTGAGGTTGTTGTCGATGGTGTAGAGGAAAGAAGGGACGGCGTAGTAAAAGGCCTCGATGGGTACGAAGCGCGCGGGTGGTGGCGTCTCCGTTATGACAATTGCGGCGAGCATTACCACCAATTTGAGCACCTCGATGAGCAGCGTGACAGTCGTGCTGCTGTACGGGATCTTACCGTCTTCCTTGGACGCACTGATGCACAAGTTGCCTGAGCACATGAGCGCCGCCACCAGCAACATGCCGCCAAGCATGCGGACGAGCTGCATTTTGTTCAGGGAGAGGCGGGTACGGTAAGTGCAGCAATGCACACCCAAGTCTCCACGTGACGTCAGTTTTCTGACTGGTCCGTTTTACGACTAAACTGTAGCATTTTAGCTCCATTTTAGTTTTTAACAACTTCAAGATCGCTAGCAAATGGAAGTCTATGGGGCGTACGGCGACGGCGTGGCGCGCATTCGCGGGGCGGTGATGGAGAACCAGGTGCGTGACGACCGGAAGGCAAGAGCTTGGTTATGTGTGGCGTTTAACGCTCTTCTGGTTGTTAGCTGCAAATGCGACAGGTGGAAGCGTCTTTGTTGGGGTTCCAGAAGGGTCTTTTGGGCGTCGAGAGGGAGATGATGCCAGTCTACAAGCTCACAGAGCAACTACGAGGCACACAGAAGAACATCGACTTGAGTGTATTGGCACTACGTCAGATCAATGAGAACTTTGTGGTGGCGCACGAGGTATGGAGGTCAAAGACGTCGCTAAAGCTTAGACTGACTGTACATGTTTACAGCTCGCTCCTGTGCTGCTTAACGGTTCCAAGTTCGACCAAGACGAGTATATCAAGGCTCTGCAAAAACTTCTAGTGGCGACTGCATTCCTGGAGGGCCATCGCTCGTATGAAGGCTCGGTGAAGGCTCTGGATCAAGCCAAGGAGCTGCTCGTCCAGGTGCGACGCAAATGTTTGGCAGATTTTGTCAGCATCGTGAGTGTGTTATCGAGAGGGGAGCGAGAGAACGATGGGGCCTTGAAATGGGTGGAACCTAGCAAGCACGACGTTGCTAGAGCTGCTCAGCTACTGGACTGTCTACTGATATCTGGTGTCGATCAAAAGGAGCTGCTCCGAGAGTACGGGAAACAGCGCTTTGATGCGATCAGGATGTTCGTGGGTGAAGATCCTTCTGGAGGCTCCATGGTCTTTGATTTAAACACTCCTATTACAACTCTGGCCAAGCATCTGAACGACTTTCAAGTGACTATTGAGGCGGAGAGGATGCTGGCGGGGCTCATTTATTCGAATGAAGATCTGGCCAATGCGGCATTTCGTTACGCTGCGCACCAGGTGTTGGAGTCTTGGAAGAAGGATATCGACGTATCATTGCGCTCGTCAAAGCAATTGGATGCCGTCAAACTGCTACTGGTTCACGACTTGTTACTATCTCGACTTAAAGCGCTTGAGTCAGCAGTACTTCCACCTCTGTTGCTACGTGATCGAGAGGGGAAAGGACTTGAAGATCCGTGGATACTGTCGAAGGCTGTGAACGCCATTGTCACTGACCTCGCTGAGACTGCCAAGCAAAAGCTATTCAACTTCCAGCCTGGCCTGGTCGAGGCTTCAGGAGACCGGACAGTCACCAGAGATGGCAATGTCCACCCGATTTCCAGTCACGTAAGTCTGTTCCTCAGTTGTTATTGTTATCCGTATTAATGTGGATGTGTACGTTGGCCAGACCCTCAATTTCTTGCGAAAGGTGTGTGAACAAGCGAAACCTTTGAAGATTCTGCTGGCGAGGGACGCGGATGTAAGCGCCGTCGCGTTTGTTGACACTGCCGTCACCCAGCTCATCGGGGCTCTCACAGCAAAAGCCGATCAACTAAAAGGACGAGAAAGCTTAAAGCAACTCTTCCTTATCAACAATTTTGGCTACGTTGCCAATTCGCTCCCACACTGTATCCAGCCTGAGGATGCAGATCTGGAGAAGCAGCTTCATAGCCTAATTAAACCGCGTGTGGAGATGATGCGAAATGACGCTCTTGGAGCTTTCATCCACCTAAGCTACGTCTCGTTCAAGGAAAACTTGAACGACCCCACTGAAAAGTTACAGTACGCGAAGGGAGGCAACGTCTTGACGCTCGAAAGCGGCAGGTTGCTCAAGGAAAAGTACTCGGTAAGCCTCGTGTCCTCATGTTCTCATTGGGAATTGCTTAACACTGCGTTTGTTTTCAGAAATTTAATGAACAGCTGGAAGAACTTCACAAAACGCAGAGGACTTACGTGGTGGCTGAAGTTCCTATACGTCAGCACTTGATTCGCACTGCAGTCGACACAATCATCCCATCATACAAGGCATTCTACGAAAAGTATGTGATCACATCGCCGTTATGCATGTTTCATTCTCAATCTCATAGTATTGCGTGTATTCCATGGTGGATAGATACTCGGTCATCCAGTTCTCCAGAAAGCACGCTTCCAGATACCTAAAGTACACTCCTCAAGCAGCTCAGAATCTGTTGAAAGAGTTGTTTTCCGGGGAGACTAGTCCAGGAGACAAACTCAGTGAAATCAGTTCGTCGTAGCAGTCATCACTGAATCGGAAGTCGATGGATTGTATTGGTGGACGCTTCAGCGACTATTACATAACTTTCATCAGCACTAGCAGCACAGAAGAAATCAGTACGAAACTAGCAGGAATCATCAATCGATCGACGTGAATTTACCTTAGGCAGAGGCCTGTTATTTCTGTGCCAGGAATCTCCATAGTTTGCTTCAAAATTCCATCCAATCCGATAATGGAAATCTTCCCGTTGCTAGCGCCCCCACCTGAATAAAACGTTTACTTAATCGTATCTTGCAGTGATTTTTCTGACAGTGGCATAAATATTACCTGAAAAATCGTAATGCCCCACATACAAAGCCCCATCAGCCCCACAAGCTAGTCCTGACGGCCCCATTCCGCCTGAGAACTGGTGAAAGATGCTGGTGTGGTAGGCATTGTTGGGTCGTTGACGCAGTCGCACAATGCGATTCTTCATGGTCTCCGCGACAAAGAGTGCGCCAGTGTCTGGAGAGACTGCGATCCCCCATGGATGTGCGAGGCACTCCATCACTAGTGGACGCAGTACCTGGCCACCACTCGGACTCGATGCGATACAGAAAACGCTGCCTTGAGGCTTCTCGAGCGTCGTTTCGCCCAAGGGGCCGCTGTCCGTGAAGAAGAGCGTGTCGTCCTGTGCGAACGCGATACCGTTGGGGCCTCGGAACGCTCGCTCTTCGTATGCCTTGACCATCACTCCAGGCTGAGCGGTATCGTCCACCCGAAGGATGGCTGCATGGGCGCAGTCAGCCAGGTGTAGACGTCCTCGGTGGTCGAATTGGGCTCCGAAAGGCTCACCGCCGGAGAAAACAACAGGCGTGTGACTGTCTGGAGCTTGATATTTGAAGACCTCGCCCGTGCCTGCAGAGACGTAGTGAATGCAGCCATCACCGGCTACAAATGGGCTGCAAATCTTAGCGCCACGACACGGGATGACGTCCATGGTGAGAGTCGAGCAGCTACGCGACTTTCCAAGATCGATCATACGACGTTTGTAAGCAATTGATTATCCTGTCATGATTGGTGGAAATTTGTACTTTTTCACCAATCATCACATGATATCCTATTGCTTTTTGACTGGCAGCTGACAATATGAGCGGCAACAAGAACCCGACCAACAAGAAGCTGGAGGAGCTGGTGGAGAAGGCTGGGGTGGACAAGCACGTACTGGAGGACCCAGACCGCATTGTGTGTGACGATGTGTGGACAGAGGAACGCGAGCGGCTGGCGCGTGAGCATCTGAGCCAAGACAAGTCCACGATCCCCGAGTTCTGGCAGAGTGCGTTCATTGGCAATAGAGTCTCATTGGAGTCTATACTGACTTTGCTGTTATGTGTGGCAATAGATAAATACGAAAAGGAGGCGGCGAAGAGCTGGGATAAGTTCTACAAGCGCAACTCCACCAACTTCTACAAGGACAGACATTATCTCCACTTGGTATTCCAAGACCTTGGTGTGGTACCTCAGGCAGGAAAAACGAGGACGTTGCTGGAGGTTGGCTGCGGGGTGGGTAATGCGGCGTTGCCTCTGTTGGAGATTAATCCAGCTCTCAACATCGTGGCCATTGACTTTGCAGACTCGGCCATTAACCTGCTGAAGGTGCGAATGAGAAATCTATCAGTTTGTATGATCAAAGTGCCTGACTGTTTGACTCGTATTGCAGACTCAACCTTTGTACGACGAGGCTCGCGTGGTGGCCTCGGTGTGCGACATCACGAAGGATTCGCTTCCTGACGCTGCATTCGCAAACGGTGGCGTGGATTTCGTGCTCTTGCTGTTCTGCCTGTCGGCGCTGCACCCGGACAAGATGAAGGCTGCAGTGAAGAAGGTGGTGGCTGCGATCAAACCGGGAGGCAAGCTCTTCTTCCGTGACTACGGTCGATACGACCAGGCGCAGCTTCGCTTCCGCCCTGGCTGCAAGTTGCAGGATAACTTCTACGTCCGTCAAGACAATACTCGGGCTTATTACTTCACGACGGAGGAAGTTGACAAGATTTTCACTGAAGCAGGCCTCGTGCCAGTGGAGAACGAGTATATCCGTCGACAGTACGCCAACAGACAGCAGAACGTCGTTAGGTTCCGTGTATGGGTACACGCGATCTTCGAAAAGCCCGTCACTGCCACAGACGCAACGCAAGCTTAAGCTGCATGGTTGTCTGTGTTGACCAACGAATATATTCTAGACGCACGATTTTGGTGAGTACGGTACTAGGTTTTATTTGGTCGTTTAGGCCGCTAGGTGATGTAGCAAGTCTACGAAAACGCGGTTGTCAATCTCAGTCACAAGAGTCACGTTCGCTTCCTCTGGGGGAGCGTCATAATCCCAGATGCAAGCGCCACGCCTCTCATCAGGAGCCAAGTGAATGCGGCCTTTCAATACAGGAGCAGTCTTGATGTACTCCGGATGCAGGAGGATAGCGATAGCGTAGGCGTCGCACGGGAAAAATCCTTGGTTTTTGCAGAATTCCCTCGTGAACTTCCAGATCCTCTTAACGTATTCGCCATTGGAGTTCACCTCCTCGTGGAAAATCTTGTCGAATGTATCCCATGGAACAGCATTGTCTAAGCACGTCTCGAACGGCACGACATACAGTTTCTTAGCACTGCAGTGCTGGTAAACAATGTCGGTGGCCTCAGGGTCACAGCTCACATTAAACTCTGCGTGTGGCGTGTGGTTCCCTTCGCCACGTGACAGGCCTCCCATGACAACCAGCTGCTTTACGTTCGTCATGAAGTTCGGGTCCAGTAGCATCGCTAGTGCGATGTTAGTGAGTGGACCCACAGCGGCAATCACCAACTCTCCGCTGTACTTGTGCGCCAAGTCGATGAGAGCATGTACAGCTTCATTACGTCTTGCAGCAGTCAGTGGGGCTTCCGCTTTGCCCGATTCACCTCCAAGGCCATCCGGACCGTGTCCCTGATAATGAGAATGATCATATCAGAGTTGATACGACAAGATCTCCTCAAGTCAGAGTCGACGTACCGCCCATTTTTCTTCTGAGACGCTGGCAACGATTGGTTTGGATGCTCCACTGTACACGGGGATCTTGGAGCGCCCAGCAGCCTGGAGAATGCTGCGCAAAGATTGATACTCAGTGATACGTGTACTGGATGGGTTACATATTTCAGATTTTTCACTCACTGCGCCACGTTGTGGTTCGCTTGGTGCAGGTCCACGTTGCCGAAAACGGTGGTGATTCCTATGACTTGGTCACCAGGGAAGGCGTTCAGCGCCATGAGGATGGCCAAGGCGTCGTCCACGCCGGCATCAGAGTCCACTACGAGGCGCATGGGAGAGTCGTCTTTTCGATTGTCAAAATGGCTTCACAGTTTGAGGAGCTCATTCTGTATGATGGGTTTCAATTGGTATATACTATGATAACGAATAAGTTCAAGTGCGCTATCATAGCGCCGCTATGTGTAGACGAACGGTATGTGCGTGCTACTTGTTCATTAGTGTCCGAATCTTCTCGGGGGTTGACGGATCGTTGTAGTGCAGACTGCAGTACTTAATTGTGTCGATCAATTCCGTTGTTGCTCCGTTCTGCTTCCACTGCACGAGTTCCTTGACGCATCGCTTTATCTGTACGAACAAATTTGGGTAAGTACAAAACTGTTTTGAAACAAGGAAGCAGTGTCGTTCGTACCTTCACTTCTGATTTGGAGCCAAACGCGCCGTGAACTGCTGTGTGATCGTAGAGGATGATTGCTCCGGTCATAGCACGCAAATAGTTCATCATGGGACGTCCGTCCTTTGGTCTGTCACGTGCACGAAGTTAGAATCCCTCAAACAGTAGATACTGAATAACATAATTACCCACCTGCTCCCTGCTATTGAGGAACAACGAGAATTTGCCAGCACAGCTGAAACGTCCACAGCCGCTGGTTCCTTGGTCATGGCGCACTCAATCGCTCGGATCAGTACTTTCAGCATTGGACAATGATCGGCCACGAAAAATGACATGGCATTTAACGGGGCATCTGTGAGACTGCAGGGCAAAACATTGTAGTTGTAAGACGGGATTATGAATCTAACGATACTGTGGAATGAAGCACACCTCTCCAGTTGGTTTGAGAGCGACGCATTGACTGCTATGAACCGTCGGAAGTGGCTGAGGTCGTTTTGAATATCGGGAGTCTTCGCCTTCAAACTATCAAAACTCACTGCAAAGTCTATCAGACTCGCAATCTTTTCCATGAGGAAACATGCAGCCTTCTTGGTTGCTGTTGGAAGATAAGCAAAGACTATGAGCATGCAAAAATTACTCTGTAGCTTAGGCGCAGCCTACATTTTTGGCTTGAAATCTGGACAAGCGCCGCGAATATCGTCTCTGCGAACGTCACAGTCAACGTCGTTTACTTCTCCTCACTCACAACGAGAGTATTCGTACCGATGTCTATCGCGAGGTCGTACAGAGTTCGGATCGTGTTAATGTTTGGGACTAACCTCATGATAAGCTCCATCTTGAGATCCTCATTATTCGGCTCGCGAATGGTCTGTTCGGTGGCGTTATGGAATACTTGAGGTAAGCGCTTCATCCATCACACTTAACGAACTGCATACACCTTTGAACCTGCCTTTTGGATGAGCTGTAGACATCCCTCGTAACACTGTACTCGAACTAGCGCATTCTTGGCTTGAGTGATAATAACATCCGATTCGGCTGCAAGGTCCTGACACATTTGGTCGATAATGGCGTCTAGACGTCCGACAATTAGTGAACCGCCACAACAACCTGGAAGCCCGACCGACTGCTCGTACCGGAAAAGCTTTTGTCGCTACTGTGGCGTAGCGAGAAGTTGAAAATCCGCGGCATCCTGTGTGTTCGATTGGCAGTTTGCGCTGTGACTGACTTTAATCAACTGTGATCAATACAGCGGGAGGAATGGAGTCGGTGTGCGACTCAGTGTCGTCCTCGTCCGCGCGAGATCCTGTACAAGACGAATCTCGCTCCAGTCTTCCGTTGGGGAAGTGTAACTATAGCTATAGACAAATAATGAAACCACTGACACCCTTACATTTGGCTATTCTTGCTGATACCGTCATGTCATTGCGAAATTCTGATGGCTGCCAACGAGATTTTCAACGACCTCAATCTCGTTCTGCAAGTCAACCAGCACATTCAGGCCGCGTCTGCAACAGCGTCTTCGTCTTCCAAGCACACGTCGTTCAAAGTACTGAATAATCTCGAGTCTGTGAGCTACTCCGAGTCGAGAGAAGATGCGCAGTTCGACCACCAGCGCTCGACTTTCCTATCGGCGAGCTCCAGTGACTTGCCATTCCATCTACAGGGCGATAGAGACTTCAATGAAGCGAGTGTAATGGCAAAAAGACGAGCTCTGCGCTTCTCGGAAGCTGTCAAGACTCGAATTGAGTTTCTATGGGAGGTGGCAGGCGGGAAGATACGAGCGGAAATGGCTCAACGAGTGCGTCAACAGCAACGTCAAGACGACGAACGAGCAAGACGACAAAGTGTCCGTCGTCCAACTGCAGTGGATGGAGTTAAGCAGCTACTTCCCCCGGTTGCAGCACTGGATGAACAGGACTATATGGCGCTTATGCTGCTAGTTTTTAAAGTTTTACGAGACGATTTCGTACTGGAAAATGCGCACAAACAGATTCAATGCGACTGGGAAGTGGACAGTCATCATGGAAAAACGTTAAGCTTTGATCAGTTCTTTGCAGCTGTGTTCGAATTGGTGGATGTTTGGACCTGCGATGTGGAGGAGGTCACCTACGAGCGCTTCTTGCATCTACTAGCCCTACGAATTACGCAACGAGTGGCAATTTTTATGGATGGAGCGGAACTCAAACTTTCACTGTCAGACAATTTTGAGCCCGATGTGGTGGTGAAAGCCATTCCGTTGCGAACTGTCCCGAAATTCGTGTCCGTTGCTCGTGTTGTGGCTGCTCTTGGAGTGACTACAGTCGGAGACTTGGCTCGAGCTGACCCCAAAATTGTGGAGAAGAATCGAATCGATTTCATTCAGCGGAATAATGGAGGTGTCGTCCCGAATGGCCTCAGCGAAATGCGAAAGATTGGGCAGGATCTACAGACTCTGCTCGAAATGTTCAAAAGCATTGCTCTGCAGTTCGAGAATATAAACTATGTTCTCGACAACAACGTGCTGCGTAGGTTACCTAAAACCGCTGCGGCCTCCCGCCAACAACCTGAAGAAAGCAGTATGGAACCTAGTGACACTAATTCTGCTAATTGGAGCCATTCTGAACAAGTCTCTGCGAGCGGAGACATTTATGTTGGAACAGGAATTAACGATGCTACTTGCTCGTTTGGAAGTGTTCCTGTTGGTACCAGATCATTGATACGCAGCGGCAACTTGCCAAGTAAAAGTGATGCTAAGTCAAGGCAAACCCAGTCAACCGTTGGTAATGAAAACTTTAATGGCTCAAGTATGACTGAGTTTACACAAAATCCTGATACAAAGCATGGTATACCACTTACTCGTGATAGTAGCAGTGCTCACAATTTTGAAAATGCTCGAGCTGACAAACGAGATGCCAGTGTACCCGATAGCAGGAGCCCCAATCTCCATCCTCAAGCCAATACCGGAGCTCGAGGCGCGAGTGAGAGCAGTGCTGGCTTCATCCAACCGATTAATTCTATCTATGAGTTGCAGAGCGCTAATACAGATGTCGTGAACGCATTGCGCTCGACTTTCTTGATCGAAAAAGCGATTTCCATTGAACGGCAAACGGAATTACCATCCATTCGGGAAGAGTTGGTAAAGTTTGGAGTAGGTAGTGAAGTCACAAAATTTGCAGAGGATACAGTCAGAGACCGGTATAATGCTCTGTACGATCTACTTGTCTTACGAGATGGAGAGAGTCTCAAATCCCTCGCAGCCGTCATGTTGGAGCAGATCAAATTGGAGCTGAGTAAACATGGAATAATTGTCAATGATGAGGAAGCTGTGGAAGAAGTATACGATGGATTTTACGCCTCTGTAGTGACAGGGACTGGTGACTCTATCGTGGAAGAGGCCCAACGCTGGATGGAAGATACTGTACAGGACAACAAAGTGAACGACTACATCCAGCATGATTTCCATGAATTAAAGTCAATTGATGAAGTAAATCTGCTTGGTTCTAATCTGGGAGATGAAGAGTTTCTGTCACTTTTGGCCAAAGATGATGATAAAGAAGATGAAGTCGTTGTAGACACCGGCAAGACTATAACAAGGAAAAGCTCGAGCCTAATTCAGAGAAAACTGAGTCGAGCTGTTACTGTGTCAATACCTTCACCCGTTGATACTTTCAAGGAAAGTCAAAGCAGATTATCTGAACCAGTGGAAGAATTGTTACCCCAACGACCTATGGATCCAGTGAGTACACCAGTAAACGATGAAGTGGACCATAACATTGGTGACAAGAAGAAGAAGAAGAAAGCGAAAAAGAAGAAAAAAGTAGTTGAGCCGCAGTCTTCTTCACATACGTCGGCCTCCTCATTTGGTTCTGTAGATTCTAGAAAATCACCACCTCCAACTCCTGTAGAAGACGGGAACTCATCAAACTCAGATCATCACAAAGAGAAACCAATAACTAAAGCTCGCAAGCCCAAACTTCTGGTTACAACTCAAGCTCAAGCGCAGGATGAGGTCGTGGAGAATAATGTCGTCGACCAAACTACTAGCCTTGGGCCACCAATCGAAGCAACAGACGCAGTGAACGCAGTTGAACCTGACGATACCAATCGCAACAAGCCACCGCTACCCTCACGCCATGGTCGTCCGAATACTGAGCTTCACATCGACACTGCGGTAGGCGAAAAGAACCACCGTGACATTTCTGAGCAACATACGGCGCGTGATGCCTTGAATGTTGCAATTGAGCTAGAAGTGGAAAATATTGCTACAGATACTAGCGCACGTGTTGACGTGGAAAGGTATGTACTTAACCTTGCAGAATTTATTCATTTTAAAGCTGACTACATCTTGTTTCTCATTTAGACCTATTTCATTGGAGCCCAAGATGCCAAAGATCGCAATCGGTGGCTCTGCAAGTGCGAAGAACGTACCAGTTACAGGGCGCTACATTCAACTCTTGGGTCTTGGAACAGTACTCATCACGAAGGACGAGCGTGATTTCTTCCAATTACTGCGGTCGCACGAAAGCCTCGACACTGATTTGGTAGGGTCATTAAACTTATACTCACCAAATATTTATCTAGTCTTCTGATATTTCTTTGAGGTGTTTGAAGGTATGCTTTGATATTGGTACCGATCTCGACACGGCCTTAAGTAAACTCCAAACTATTCAACAGCATGTAGGCAATCGAGTGATACTGTTCGGTGGTAATACTGACGAGCCCGAGAGAACACAGCAGGTTGCGTTGGAATGCCTCGCACACGGAGCTCTCTACTTTGCTACCATCCCATTCAACTTTCCCCGGCTACGAGAGAGGATCATGTCATTCTTTGAGAATTCCAAGCAGCCATACATCCTACGACAACGGAAACCACCTGGTCAAACTGCCCAGATGGGCTCTTCTATCGGCACTGGCAGTCTCTTTGCATTGCATGACGAACCACGTAGAGTCTCAACCAGTGTGGCTTTCGCTAAGACACCTCGACGTAAAGTTGCAGTGGCAACCCCTGCTCTACCTTCTTTGTCACATTCTCCACGTGAAATCTCTCAGTCTTTCCCCCAAGGTTTAAGTGAACCTCGCCATGCCGACTTCACCCCAATTGCGCCCAGTACACCTCGATCTTCACAGTCCAGAAACAGATCACCCCGTTTTTCGACGGCATTGAATAAGCTGATCCGGTGATTTTATCCTATTCCAAGTCTAAAAAGTTGATCAACAATTCTGAAGCTGCTAGTGTTGCGGCTTCGATTAACCAACGCGCTTGATCTTGGCAGGAGATTCTCCTCTGATATACTGGATAGTGGCCATCAAGTAGTCAACCACGCGCAGGTGGAAAACGAGATTGAGATGCTCCCACCAGTAGTTCAGCGATGCTAATACCCCCACATGGCTCCCCTGAGCTGAGCGGAATGCGGAGTGCCCGCTAACAGCGAAATTTCCCATGATGGAAAACCTCTCCCTACAACAATCGAGTTAGTAAACACCAAGTTTGGTAAATTTTCAGCAGGAATCCGCACCTGGTGGTCCCTCCTAGATCCTTATTCAGCGCCCGGATCATGTTGTTCGTCCGAAAGACAAAGAGCATATCCCTCGGAAGTTGCTCCAGGAAGTCAGTGACCTAAAATACAATTGTCAGTCAAGTCGCTGAGCAAAATTCCGTGGCTTCTCAAAGGCACGTACATTAGAGAAGCGCATATTCTTGAGATCCTCGGAGAGTTTCAGGCGTTCGGACTCGCTCATGGATGCGTCCAGCCGCCCCTTGTGGTTAATCGTCCGGTACGTGAACAGCAAGGGCAAATACTTGGTCAGTTCTCCAACATTCAGTCTCCTACCGCAATCGTCCAGCAGAGCGCTGTCCCGCATCAGCATCGCACGCCATAAATCGCAGTACGTTTTGCGGAATTCTTCGTCCAGCTCGCGGTAAAGTCCGTGGTCTAGGAGAACGAGTTGTTCTTTTCGCTTGGCTTGAGGGTTCGGATTCCGACGCACAAAAATGTTCCCAGCGTGTGGATCGCAATGCACAAACCCGTGACAAAAGACCATTTCGCTGAATACTTCACACAGAGCTCGTGCGACTTCAGGAGGCTCGAGTCCAAGTTCTTTGATTGCTTCAATCTGCGAGATCTTCGGTGCGTTAATGAACTCCATCGACATCATCCGCTTGGTGCTCAGCTCATCGTAAACTATAGGCACGTGAACACTTTTGTTTTGTTTTAAACACGCTGCAATACGTCGACTGTTGTTCTTTTCGTTTTCGAAGTCCAGCTGTATACCAAAAACAAAAGCTTAGCAACCTTCTCAAGCAATAGTACTATCTTGCAGTATACCTCCGACAGTAGAGCACGCTTACACTCTGGAAAAAGCCATTGGATCTGGACATCTGGGAAGTAATACTCTGTGAGCTGGAAAGCCCACTTGATGACGCGGATGTCTGCTTTCATCTGCGATTCGAGATGTGGATACTGAACTTTAACAGCCAATTCTCGTCCTTGGCGGTCCACTGCGCGATGCACTTGAGCCAGTGATGCAGAAGCGATTGGTGTCTGGTCAAACTCTTGGAAAATCTCGTGCCAGGATCGCCCCATTTCCGCCTCGAGTGTTTGTTTGACCTTATCGAATGACACTGGCTTGGCCTGATCTTGCAGTTGGGCCAGCGTCTCTGTGTACTCCTTGGGTAGTCCGTGGTTGAAAGTGGCTAATTGCTGCCCGAACTTTGTGTAGATTCCACCGTTCTGGAAGCACAAGTGGAGGAGTCTCTGGGCGATACGCAGGTTGAGACTCTGCAGCTTGAGACGGTAGTCCGTGTCGTCTCTTTCGGTGCCTTTAAAGTGGAGACGGTAGTCCCAAACTACTTGGCCACCCGCGACGAACACACGCATCGATCGCGATAAGATTTTGCTGGTCGACAGAAAGAGTTAGTGGGCGGAATTGCAACCCTTTGAGACTGTGGAGCATATTTTACGCGTTAGCTTCGTCGACAGCGTAGGCACCGCCTGAGAGCAGCGCGAGGGCTACCAGCGACCGTCTTGTGCGTGTGGAGAGCAAGCGGGATGTCATGGCGATGAGGAGCTGCCTCTGACGGTCTGGGAATGAGCGACTCCAGTTGCAGCGGCACCACCGGTAGATATAGGAACGATTGCTGTGAGATTGTCATTTTGGGCGTGAAATTGAGAATAAAAGAGACAATAATTCAATCCATGAGGAATGATTGTGTCATTTTGGCGTGAAATTGAAGTTGTACAGGCGGTAGTACTACAGGGACTAAGCTTTATTGTAAGGATATTGTGAATTCCGTCCAAATTTGCCGATTTGGGTCTGTTTGAGGAGCGGGAGGACAATCGCCCTCTTTGGGGGAGGTTCATTCAAAGAACCGCCCATGGAAATTTTGAGTAGAACTCACAATAAGAAAGTTTCTTGAAGATATTCAGGACAGGAACTGTGAACAATAATAGCCCATTGCAATAGAGTCTCTATTTCAGCCCTCACGAAGGTGTGGCGAATGACATACATGTACTTTGATTCTTTATCAAAGCAGCGACGAGTACGTGGAGACTGTACTCCGATCTTTGACGACGTTAATTAGGGACGCTTCGACTTATTTGCAGTCGGTCTTGCCGGCAATGAACTTGCCGTCCTTGGAGTTCTCGCAACCACACTCGCCCGTGTTGGGGTCCCTGATGCATCCAGTGCCGACACCGCTGGCCGTACCGTTGCCACTGTTCATTCACAAGAGCACATTAGTACAGTGCTTCATTTTTCGACAGAAATATCGGACAACTTACTTCCAGAAGAACGTCCAGCAGTCGGGGTTCTCCTTCATTTGTTTCTTTGTGGGGCCATCGCACGTGTACGCAGTGCACGTTCCATACGGGTAACCGTGGTTACCGTCGTACTGGTGATCCTGTACGAACACGGCAAAAGTCTGCTTGTTGTGCGTGCGAGTGTTGTGCGAGCACTCAGCCGCCTGGATGGCCTTGGACACCTTCGTTTCTCGGCAGTTGTAGATGCTCGGGCATTTTCCCTTGCTATTGGTGTGGCAGGGAGCGAGAGTCGCAGATACCAGCGCGGGAGCGGCAAGAAGAGCGAGAGCGAAGGAGACGCGCATTTTGGTTTAAGTTGGTTGTTCTGCTATTCGAAGGAAATTCAAGAATGCAGTGGGATTTCTTCTCGCTGTTTGGCTAGGAGAGCTTGGCAACATGACGGCGAGAGGACGCTTACAGGTGGTTGTACAGATGGCTGATTGCCAGGCAAATTGCAAATTGCAAATTGCAACGCAGACTGCATATGCCCGAGCTATATATATTGTGTCCTTCGTCTGTATCACCTCAATTGTGTCCGAAAGGATCGGCATCTGTATGGTGTTCGACTTGACGAAGAGAGGCACGAACGATGCCAACATTCCAGCGATCCAGCTGTGCGTGTACATGTACATGTTTGATGTCATTATTCAACATCAAAAGAACAATCACATGAAGCTCACACAGTCTGGGCAGCCTCGACAAGCACGTGAGGCCCTCACATTTGAACAATCTCGACAAGCGCGTCCACACCTGGTATGTACGTGCTCCTGAGCACGTACCACGCCAGATACTCGCATCATGCAAGCGCATGCCAACCGTCTGCCATTTGCGTAGGGTTTGCATAAGAAATGCCCGTATTATTTTAATATGGGTTTCCTCCGTCTGAAAAATACATTTCGATTTGAGTCCGTCCCAACTACAGTAATTAGTTTGTATTCAGAATTAATCTAGCATAGACTAATTCATGTATTTTCAAGCAACATGGACTAAGTTGCTCGGGATGTGGACCGGAGAAGAGATATCACCAGTCACTGTAAAACAGTTCCAGCGATACTGCGCCTCAAGAAAGGCGCCGCCTCTCTCGAGAACGATCAAGACGCGAATACACTCCAAGTTTGCAGATGAGGCATGTGGCGACGAATTTGGTGGATCATGACTTCAATATGCATTACAGAGCTATGGAGGCAACGTAACCAGGTGGTACACAATGATGCAGAAATTACAGTGGAAGGGCATCATCACAACGATTCACCGTCAATTGATGGCGCTAGCCAAGCGCAAACGTAGGCGACTACATTCCAGACTCAGCGGCATACAGCTGAGGTTGTGCCTGGAGCTTTTACCACTTCGAGAGTCATCCCACTCGGGAAGGAGTTCACTGGCTAATAGACTCAGGACACTTTAATTCATGTATTTAAAAAAAAAATCAGATTCAAAATTAATCTCAGCACAAAGATTCAAGGCGGCTGTTGGAGGCCAGGATTATCGACATGTATTTGTACATGTAAATAATCAACAATAATCCTGAATTGCAAAGTCTAACTTAAACAAGTATCCATATGGGGAAGATTCGAGAAGATTCGTTGAGGACGTCGAAGATACACAACGTGGGGCTATCATTTATCCAGGATTTAATCCTGTTGCATCCAGGAGTAAATCCTGGATTCTAATTATGTGTATGAATCAAATACCATGATTAATCATGTAATTGCTCAGGATTTAATACTGGTCCTGGACTTGAAGCAGCTCTAGGCGCGCAATACACGAATATGAGGATGACGCGTCAATGCCTTGACCTTAAGAAGATCATGATCAAGTGGCTGAGCTCTGAGAATGATAAAACATGAATTCAATGCTGTTAAAGCTACGGAGACTTACCCATTAGCGTAGCTAGAGTGCTTATTGCGCGATCTGCGTGGATGGGACTTCTTCGTCGCTGCCCGGCTTCTCTTCGCTGCTCGGGGCCTTCATTTTCTCCTCCTCATCGTCTGGATTAGAGGCTACTGCAGTATTACCTTCCAGAGGAAGAAGACGACCCTTGAGCAAGTAGAAGAATAGTTCAACACGACGTCTCGTAAGCGACGTATCGATCATGTCCACGTGTAACCCCGGAATTACCTTATGGATAAACATCCAGCACACGTACACGCCACAGCTGAACCCGTCGAACTGGAGAGGGTTGTTTTGCGAGATTACGTTGTAGTCTTGCAGTCCTGTTATCTTCAGTGTCGTTGCGATTTCACTGCAAGCGTTCACGTACGCAGTTTGATTCAAAGGGTCATAGGAATAGATCCGCTTTTCCGTAACCTTTATCACCACGCAACACCAGTGGAAGTTGTCGAAATTCAGAGGCAGCATTACTGTTTGGACAGAGTCGTCCCGTATGTATTGTTGGACAGCCGTTCGGATCGAAACATCGACGAGATCATTTTCCTTGTTACGCGTTCGCTTCTGTTTGGGGGAAGCAGACTGGAAGCCAGCAAACCGACAAGTAGGATAGTCCTCCGTTAAACGCCAGCATACGGCGCGTATAGCTGCGTCCGTGAGCCACTCGGGTGGGCTCACAGTGTAGAGCATTACATACGTATAGTCTGTGAGGTTTGGAAGGCCTTGGATCTTCTTGTAGGGATACGTAGCCATTACTTCGTCTGCCACCTGATTCGCAAATCCATGGTATCCAGCAGGAAGAGAAGCAATACCCTTGTCGACAAGCCACCTGTGCATATCAATGCCGCTGTGAACAGCGGCCTTCATATTCTGGACGCGCTTGAAAATCTCAATCTGATCTCTTGAAAATGAGCCAACATCCTTGATTAGTACCGTTTCCACTCCCTCTTTACCCGAAGCTCTTTGCTGTCTGGGTCCTTTGCTCGATTGAGAATCGTCAATTGATATTGCCGTGTCTTGTGTGTTCGACACAGGTAGAACCTTGATGCAGGCAGACAGCAGCTTGCTGGGGAGGACGAAAAACGGATCCAGGATTAATACTGGATTCTTCAGGACTTTATACTTCGGCTTCTTTTTCTCCGCTTCCTCAAATTTCACGAGTACACCAGATAAACGCCTCTGGGTCTCTACGAGGCCAGGCTGCTCGCGATCTAACGAGTTCAATAAAGCGCTCAAAGTCACCTCTCCAGCAGTTTCCCGACCCTCTTCAATTGCCTCATACCATTTTCGATCCTTCTTTTCTCCAGCACTAGTAGCCTTCTTCTTCTTTTGAGGTCTTCCAACCTTCTTCGCCTTTGGATTTAGACAGATCGTCACCTGCTTTTTCTGAGATTTATCGCGAGAAACGGAGCTCTCTGTATCCATAGAGCTTTCTTCTTCGGGAGAACCGGAGGGGACTTCTTGTTCGCTGGAGCTAATATCAAATTCAGTTTTTACTTGGGCGTCCGTAAACTTTGCTTCACAATGTTCGTCTTCATCCACACAGCTACTAGCTACCCCCACTTGTTGACGTACAGCCACCCTCTTTCTCTGTCTGACGTTACGCCATTGATCCAACACGAACTTGAGCATAGATTCGAACTCATCTTCGTCTTCTATCTCGGCCATTTCGTTCGCGATAAGGTGTGTGGCTCTAACGGCTTCCCTGTAGCGCTCTGACTGAGTTCTGAGCTTTTTCTTAGGTCCACCTTCTCCTTCATCATCGAATTTCTCATACGAGAACTGTTTCACCTTCTTCAAGGCTTGGGCTGTCGTCGTCCACCTACAGAGATCGTCATCAAGTGAAGTTAAATCTCCTTATCAATATAAAGACAAATATTTCCAGGATTATTCTAAATAATCCTGGATTAAGTCCAGGATTCACCAAAACCAATTTATCTAGGATAAAATCCAGGATTTTCAATCAACAATCCAGGATTTTAACTAAAAGACCAGGATTTTAAATCCTGGACATGTACATATAAAACGAAATCATGGAGATAATCCACAGAAAAATCCTGGATAATCCTGTCTCAATATGAAACCCACCTTTCATCAATTCCGCTCCAAGGGATCAGAGGACCAGAAGCATTGCAGTGCTTTCTGTACGCTATAGCGTGGCGACACGGCAGCTTCATTGACATAGAGAACTCACAATCGCAGCGCCAGTCAGCCAAACTCAACTTGTGCTCAGAAAAAACGCCGTTCACGACAACCACTCCACTATTCTCCTGGTCTTCCACGTAATTGTAAGAATCCGCCTTAGAAAGGGCGGTTGCGTATTGCTGCTCTATCTGCCCAGCCACATAATGAGTAGTAAATCGTAGGACGGTCGACATTTCTTCATCGTAACCGCTGTTAGTAAATCTTCCAATGCGTGATAGTCGGTACTTATACTCGTTCTCAACACGACGGTCGTTCGCCACCAGCGCCTTCACACACGCTGCCATACTCATCGATCCGTCTACTGCGTCCTTTAATTTTCCAAAGAAACTTTCCAAGCGATTATTCGTGTGATTTCGGAAGTGGGGCAGTTTAGACCGTAGATAGTAGACCCAGCGATCTTGACACGAATCCCAGTTCTTCAAAAAGTACTCGTAAAAACCGTTTAGGCCAATCCGTGCACATATGCCCTGTAAAGCGTCTCGTGAAGCCTTATACAGTTCCTCACACGCAGCGTAGATCATCTTATGAACTGCTCCGTCGATTTGGCTTGCATCTTCGCTGGAGATCTTTCCGAATTCTGGCTTCGCCCTCATTTCCTTCATATACTTAATAACGTGAAAATGGCAAACGAGGATACGGGCGCCCGGAAAGTTTGTCTCCAAGACACGAATCTCGTTCAAGTCCTTGTCAACCATGATAACCCTCAGTAAGTCTATGCGCGTCGGGTGTGACCTTTTGAAATGGTCAATAGCCCTCTCCATATGCCAATCTCCGTTTGCTTCTATAAGCGACTGCTGAACTACAGCACCCTCCCCAAACTCATTCATGCCCATGAAAGTGAGAAGCTGGTAGTTATATCTAGCAACAAAAGTAAAAAAAATCTGATTAGAATATTATTAATACTGGATAATAGAGGATTAATCCTGGAAATTACAGTTATAACACTGAAACGCGTGAAAAAAAGCGTACCTGTTTGTCTTGTGGCTGCAGTCAATCAGCAGCACCTCGCTGAAACGTCCAAACATCCGTCTCATGTGAGCAGACGTCAGTGAAATTACTCCAGTTTCTCCTGATTCCGTTTCCGCGACCGAAGAAAGATTTTCAGGGTCCAGAGCAGAGAAGAGAGCAATTTCGCGTGCCGTGGCGTCATTATCATCAGAACGTGAAACGGCCGAGCTGTGATCACGAACCAGGTTGTCGACGTCAACCTGAATGACGTTTTGATCATGCTCAAGGAGATAGTCGTAGATTCTCGAGCGCTTGGCACCAACAGACAGCATTCCCTCTACTCGGGCTCCTACCAGCGGGTCCGTAATACCTCGAGAGACCGGATACGTAGCGTAAGCAGCCGTAGATATCTGGTGATTGTGAGAAAAACACCCGTTCTTCACTTGTAACTCACCGCGCGCTGAATTCCACTGAACCACGAAACGGAAAGGGCAATCCGTCAAACGGATATGCTGTTTTGGCCGGCTGCCTTCACTACGTGTCTTCCTTTACTTCCAGCCATGAGTGCAAATATATGTCCGTTGATAGGGGTCAATTGCTTCAGGAATCAGTTGTGAATCATCCTCTCCCTTCTTTGTCTTCTTTAGTCGCTTGTTCCTCTCCGCTCTAGACATCGTTTCCTTTACTGGCAGCACCTGCATAGTTCGTTGACAGTATTCAATGAAATACTCCTGCCAAGCGTCCCAACTCGCGTGGTATTTTAGCGGCGGATCCACAGGTACAAGTGTCGGGTCTTCGTTACTGCTCCTTTCATCCGCTTCCTCAGC